TACAACCCCAAAGAACTCAGCACACAAATAAAGTTGGCGAAAGTGAGCACTATACTGCGCAATTTTGTGCATGCGTGTGGAAGCGAAATGTCCAACTTGGAGAAGCTAGCACGCCGGAGAGGTGAGACCGTGACACCGTACGTCCAAAAACACGAGGTCATACGTCACAGACTTTTTATGCATATTCATGAGTTTGCGCGGGCGCGCCTGCATATTGCAACTTTATAGCGCGGCTGCCATTTTGAAATCGCATGGGGGACGATATTTGTGGAATCTGATGACTGAAATTCGTCTTGTCGCCAGATGGATGAAAATATTGAGACCAAACAACGTTTTTTCGAAAAGGTATGAGTTGCTCTACGACTACGAACCTTAACTTTGGAAATTTGTGTCCTGGATGAAAAGATAATCGCGATCGAAAGATGTAGCAAAATCGCTACATCGGCGGCCAACAAAATTCAGTCTCTGTGGAAGCATCGGGCGTATGGCCGTACTACAGAGCTTGCGATAGTACTGTACGGCCTGGCCAGACGCAGTCGGGCTAGATGGTGTAGTGAGATCTAAGTCTTTAGGTATTACCATCATGACCAAGGAGGAAGGAATAGGAATAGGCGAATAATGAAGTGGTGGCGACAGATGTGAAAAAGGGCCCGTTTTTAATGATTTTTTTCGCCGTGTTCTCACATTGAGGTTGCATATAAAACCGGCCCGGTGGGTTAATAGTTCCCCAAAGGAATTCATATGTGAAAGTATACTTTTTGTATTCTGCAACTGCCAAAAAGTGTCATAATTTTTGCTGGATTTGAGGATCAAAATGTATGTAGGCCTACTAGTACTACCACATTTACTGCTAGTCCGAGTAACTTGGACCCAACTTATCGCCTTTTTAACGTTTGGACATGGTCTGGCGATAGCCAGACCATGTCCAAATGTTAAAAAAGGCGATAAGTTGGGTCCAAGTTACTCGGACTAATTTACTGCGTGCATCACCTTCATTTGGACTATTACACCACGTGTAAACCCTGTGTGAGTGCGGCAGTTCATACACACAAAAGAAACCCTATCGTTGGCAATAATTCGTCCATGAAAACAATCCAACGGGTAAGACTAAGAAGCACTTGCTACCTGTTGTCTAGTAAATACTGAACAGTAAAGGAAAATTTTATTCATACGAAATCAAGCATTTGCTTTTTCCTTAAATGCTTGTACTCCAAAGTAAAATGCTTTTACTTTTTGCTTAAACTTCCTAGCTTTTACTAGTTTTTATACATACAACCTAGTCCGAGTAACTTGGACCCAACTTATCGCCTTTTTAACATTCGGACCATGTTCGAATGTTAAAAAGGAGATAAGTTGGGTCATGGTCCAAGTTACTCGGACTACATTCGACCCATTGTCAGTCTCATTTCTAAATCTAATTAGGTGTTGGGCCTTGAGCCCAACAATACTGTTTTTGTTCTTCTCTCAGCATATTCTCAGCAAATCCTTCTCCAGAACTGTTTGGAAAAATGGAAACATATGAACTCCATTTCTCAATACATGAATGCCCAATCCACCGCAGATGTGTTTTTTTGCAAATTTACGTAATCATGACGCCATCATGGGTCACGGGATGTCACTTGAAAGTTTAATAAATTTAATCTTTGGAATTCCATATAGAATCAACCGTGAGAGACCGGAACCTGAAATTTGCGGGAATCGACATAGTAATATACATGATCTTCATTTTATGTTGTGCGCGTAAAATCACGTGACCCTTCCTTCCGGTGGAAAAAGATATGAACTTGCTTTTAACGATTTAAGTGTCTGCCCGGATTGACCTTTCAAAAGAAATAATGGGTGACGCCATGAAGTGTTGGAGCGCCCTTTAGCGGCAGGTCAAAAACGCATTTTCACTTGATGTCTGTGGCGAAGTTTGCGGTAATCGCTTCAAAGTTAATGTACATGATGACCATAATTCAGACAACACCTGTGCGTGAAAAAAAAATTGATTACGTCATCAGACCGGAAGTTACAATAAAAAGACCTTTAAACCTTAAAAAAATTGTTAGAAAATATACCGTGATAGATATTTATAATCAAGATTTGGCTGTATACAGCACAGTAAATATATATATAGCTCTTGAGGTTTCTGGTAATGACGTCACAATGAGGTCATCAAGTATCATATTACAAGCAATCAAAGATTTTTAGATTTAATCTTTGAAAATCAATATAAAATCAACTGCTACAGATTTGATTTTGTTCTTTATGGCAATCGATAAAATATTGCAGGGTCTTCATTTTTGGTATTAAGTGCAAACTCACATGACCCTTCCTTCCGGTCGAAACCGGAAGTGCATTTTTATTTGAAATTGGCAGAAGATGTGAACTTGCTTTCATCAACGATGTGAGTGTCTGCCTAGGCAGTAGGCCCTACTGTACAAACATATTACAGGTGACGTCATCAAATGTTTGAGCGCCTCTAGCGGCAGTTTAAAAAAAGGCGGAAAACGCTTTATCACTTGATGTATGTGGTGAAATTTACGGTTATCGCTTCCAACCTAAGATACATGATGAACTTAATGCAGAAAAGACCTGTGGGCAAAAAAAATTGATGACGTCATGGGACCGGAAGTTACAATAAAAAGACCTTTATAATCCTTAAACGATTGCTAAAATATCAACAGTGAGAGATATAATCAAGATGTGGCTATATATAGCAGGGTAAATATAGCTCTGGAGGTTTCTGGTGATGACGTCACAATGACGTCATCAAGTGTCATATTACAAGCAAATAAATATTTCCATATTTTATCTTTGAAAATCAATATAAAATCAACTGCTACAGATTTGATTTTGTTTTTTATGGCAATCGATAATATATTGCAGGGTCTTCATTTTTGGTTTTAAGTGCAAAATCACGTGACCCTTTCTTCCAGTCAAACGGGAAGTGCCATATTAATTGAAATTGGCAGAAGATGCGAACTTTTAACGATTTGAGTGTCTGCCTAGGCAGTACTGTACAAAAATTTTACAAGTGACGTCATCAAATGTTAGAGTGCCCTCTGGCGGCATGTTGAAAAGTCAAGCATGGATTTAAACATGCATATTTTGAGTTGCTGTGTGTGGCAAAGTTTGCGGTAATCCATGGTTTGCGGTAATCCTACAACCTCTAGTTTAAAATGTTATTGTTTTGAGCAGTTTTTCTCGTACACAAATTTACAGGGGGGGGGGGGTCCTAAGGCCTTACTCTAAGTATGCCTCTCCTGGAGTGTACGCTGGTTATAGGGATGGGTTATTGTTTTTTTGTTGACTTTTTGGAGTTTTATTTGCCTTGTTGTGCTAAGTAATTGTTCATATGTGTCCAACTTGCACTATGCAGTTCTTATCATACACAAGGATGGGGGGGGGGGGGGGGAGGGCGATCATGTAGTACTGTAGGGGGTAATTGTGTAGTTTAGGACCCCCTGCCTATTAGTATAAGTGTATACTTATAAGAGAACAAAAATCCACTCTTTAGTTCCTGGACTAGCCTAAAATACTTGGGTTTTTTTTTATTCATGCTAAATGAAATGAAACCTATTAAAGGGAATATACATCGTTTGCTTTTGCTGTAATTTTCAGAAATGGATGGAATTGGGGGGTTGGAAATATATAGTAAATATAGTTACACTGACTTTTTTGAGGTTTTGGGTTCGAAAATGCTATAAATACCAAGAAAATCAATCATTTTACTGTAGTCTTGTTCCCTGACTCCATTTAAGAAGAAACAGCAGTTTACATACATTGGGGAATTGTAAGGTCAGGGAACCAGTGTAGCTGGCTTGTACCCGTTCATAGGTGTGTAATAGATTGCAAACAAGTGCGATGGTCAACTGGGGCCAGTATTTGAAAAAAAAAGCCAGTTTTTTTCCAACGCTGGTCGGCCGATCAGCGTTGGAAATTGATACAAAAATACCACTTTTCTTAAAAATGACAGTATGCAGGTGCCATGATTTTACAGGATGCTCTACACTGTCATTCACTAACAGTCCAGCAAGGTATTTCAAAATAATTTGGTAGTTTTATTTTTTGATGTTTGCAAATGTTGTATTTTCCCTTTAAAATGATATTGAGTAACTCCAGCTGATAATACTCACAGTGTGAATTAGCATGTCAGCTGGAGTTACTCAAGCCATGGAGCCAAGTGCAGGTCGCAAAAATGTTGCTTGAAGTTGAAGAGACAGAAATTTCAGAATAACTCCAATTTTATAATTAGCCAATACATAAGGAACGTTGCATCACGGCACTGTCATCACATTATCTCAGTGAAGGTCAGTCATTGCAAAAAAGTTGAAAGGTCACAAATTTGGGACTGAATGAGAAATATTTCCAATTTTGTTAGGGGGGGGGGGGGAGCCGCATTTCCTATCTGTGTGTGTGTGCGTGTGTAAACACCAGCAATCGTGGTCGTAGGACAAAAGAATTGGGGTGCAAACAATACGTCCACGATTGACCGAACGTCCACGATCTCAAATCGTGTACAAAACCAATGAGAGCTGTCGCTAAAAAGTTAGAGTACAAACAAAGAAAAGAGGATAAGGGACAATGAGGTGTCCATGATTGCCGGCATTTACACACGTGTGTGTGTGGGAGGAGGGTAGACCCACTAATTTGGGCGTTAGAACTCCTTTTTTTACAAATTTAGATTTAGTCTGTCGTACTACCATGACTACATTTGTAGCATCCCAAATTTAGATTTAGTCTGTCGTACTACCATGACTACATTTGTAGCATCCCAAATTTAGATTTAGTCTGTCGTACTACCATGACTACATTTGTAGCATCCCAAATTCAAAAAAAAAAATGATTTCTAGCATCCCAGTTAGCATGTCTAGGAGGAGGGGGGGGGGAGTAAACAGGCAGAAGTGGATGGTGTAAAAAAGAAATCCTTTTTCCTTCTTCATTTGATGAGAAAGAGTTTTGCTTTTCTTCTCGTTTGTAGAAATTGTTGCTGAGCTGTCTGATGAGCAGCTTTTGACAAACGCAGTGAAATGTCGGTCCTCCACAAATGGGCCACGATGGAGATGAACTTTGTGCCCCAGGGACGGCACGTCAATGCTCCCATGCCAACACCACAGGAACTGAGAGGGTGAGATGGTTGTCAGGGGAATTGGAGGCAGAAAATGTTTCCAAGACATCACAAGTTAATTACAAGTCACTATCTAGTTTATCGTCACGTGACAAGCTATTGAAAGAAATTGTGACGCAGACAAGGCCTGTAAAGTGGCTACATACACAGCCACGCTCCGTTCATAATCTCTGGACTTTCGACTTTCAAAAACCCGGTTGGAGACCTTCCACTTACAGTCCCGAAATTCAATTCGACAGTGTTTTCACGAAGTGACAAAAACCTCAATATTATGCAAAAAGATAATTCTGAGGCAATCGCCTTTGAACATGTTGAAGTTAATCATTTTTTTCAAAACACCTTTTCGACTAGTTTTTAGTTATGGATTTAAGAAATTCTTGCATTGTCAAGTAACGTATGGTTTGTTCTTTGCTAATTCAAAGTTGTTTTTTAGAAGTCTCTCTTAAACTGTAATTCATTAATAAAGATCAATAAAAGTTTTGTTCACTTCGTGAAAACAGCAAAATGCAGAGGCCACACTATTTTGTCCCATTAAGTTGTACACACTCTTCATCAATTCCTGAAAACATAAAAAGTTCTAAGAAATTGTTACATTTGCGCGTCTGACGTCACTGCAGCGCGCGTGCGTCTGTTCTTTATCGACATCGTTCATGGCGTGCGCGTCCAATCACATCCTAAAGTGTGTCATGTGTGTGTAGAGAAATGCATTATTCCTCTGGCCCTGCTAAGGAGGTAATTTTTGTCACTTCTTGAAAACAGAAAAACACGTATTTTAGGCTTTTGTCAAATGTTTGTTTAGGATAATTACAAAAGTAAACAATATTTCGCTTTGAAACTCAGCCAATTTTTTCCTTTCGTCAAGTACAATAAATTGGCCGGTAAAACTCAAAAACATTGTCGATATGTTCAGTACTTGCCATGCTTGCATAAGAGTTTATCCAAGAACTTCAAGTGGCATAGGGTCTGTCATTCCAAAGAAATTTGAGGGGGAAAAAGGGAGCCCCCATCAACACGAACGTTAGAAATTTTGAAAGTTCAGAGATATGAACGGAGCATGGCTATGTAGATAGGCACGTTTACAGGTCTAGACAAAGACATGTCTCTGCCATTGTTCAGTCCCTGTTAAAGCTACAGTCCATCATTTGCAGCTATCCGAAAAGTACCTTGTGTAATTATTGTTGAAAAACATACTTGGTTGAAAGATAGTAATGGGACTAAACTCCCTGTGAAATTATTCTTTCTGGCAAGCTGTCATTTTGAAGTAATCAACGAAAGAAGGCCTTTCCAACGGTGCTTCTTAAGACGCACCGTAGGAAATTTAAATTAGTAGTTTGTTTTGTATTTGGCGAAGCGCCCGCAAGCATTGGCACGACGCACGGGCGGTTGCTATAATTCGTCGGATCAGTGCGCGACATCGCATTGCTACAATCGGCTCAGCGAGAACGTGTCTCGGATGCTGAATTCAGGCCCAATTCAAAACATGATTCAGCAACTTTTGATTTGAAATTGAGATCCTAGAATGCTGTTTTTCTTGGAATATACAGCTGAAGCTAAGCTAAAACTTCATCAGGTTAAGTTGTTCAGTACCCTTCTTTAGATTTTGATCACTTCAAATCACTTTTTGATTTGCTTCAAACGAACAAAATGCACAAATTACAAATGATGGACTAAACCTTCAATTGTGACGTGATTTGACTTGTGACTGACTTGTTATAAATTTGAAACAACTCTGGGTTGGGTAGAGAAGTGCTTATGGAGTGCGTTTGATTAGCTCACCCAAGTCAACTCGGGTCAGCCCCTTGCTGTTCGATGAGCTCTGATGTCATTCTCGGGGCTCACCCGGGTCGGCCACCACGGACCCTGCTCTTGGAGCAGAGTCACTGGTGGAAGTACATTTCACACATGCGTTGTTCATTCCAAGAAACAGACAAATATAGCAGCCGGACATCGGAAATGCTTTAGTGGATCCAAAATTAAACTTTGTGTGAAATCTAAACATAATTAATATTCAGAGTTCATTGCGACTTTAGAGTCTATAATTGGCTGAAAAGTAGTAAATTCTAAATTAAGACCCAGTCCGAAACGGGCGTTTTGTCAGTGGCTACGGCCGCGATTATAAACATCACGTGAGGATTGTGATGGCCCACGGTTGAGTGTTAGTTTAGCCCAGCTGTCGTGGCTAACCCATCTGCCTTTACCCAAGTCAATCCAGGTGAGCTACTCGAACGCACACATAAGAAACCAGTTTGGTATCTTGATGAAGTCGTCCAGTTTCTAAGGTCATTCGGGATAATATTGCTGATGTGATGTTACGCGAACGCCCATTCTGCTCGTAATCAACACGCGAGAACTGTGCGCCCACCTCCCTTCGCGTTCATGCACATTCGAAGAGAGTTCGTATATCCCGAATGACCTGTGACCCATACATGTATCATTGTGCGCACGCACAGATGAAATACCGAACTGGCTTTTTGCTGATGTGAAACTTACAAGTATATACACAATGTATGCTTTTTAAACCAAATCGGTGAAGGAAACTGTTCAGAAAAGTGGGATCCAATTGTTAATTCACAGTTCAGTGCACAACATGATTACCGTGGAGTGCTGTGACCTCGTGGTTAAAGGCATTGGATTCGTGGCCTGTGGGTAAAGCTGCGGGTTGTGGGCTTGAGTCCAGCCGGGGTCGTGGTGCGTTTGGCCTTGAGCAAGGCACTTTGTCACTCATTGCTTCTCTCCACCCAGGAGTAAATGGGTACCTATGAGGGCAGTGATGGTAATTGTGATTGAATAAGCTTGCTTGCGCCTAACAGGCAGCATCCAGCTGTATACTCCCCAGGGAGCTGAGATGGTATTTTGAAAGTTTAATTGGCCCAATGATCAGAGGTAATAATAATACTGTAAGCGCTGTGATTTAGTTTACTAATAAGAGCCTCCTTAAATGCCGATTATTATTATTATCATTTGGGCATTACTTCCGCTCTGGCCTCTGGCACAAGCTCATCACTCTATATTTCATGATTCACTGTGGACCTTAAGTGTTGTCAATAATCAGCCCTGTCAGTCGTAGCTGTTTCCTCTTATCTTTTCTTCTCTTTGTAGCCATTTCTTTCCGTCTGCGGGGTCCACATCCGTTTTTTTTGTGTGTGTAAGGAAGGGTTTTTTGATGGGCCTGCACATCTTGAAACCTTGCCCTGCTTGCTGAGTTTGCCTAATTTGCCCTTGGGCTTGAGTGACCAGGGTTTAAGAATATCTACTGATATTCTCATCTCTTTCCCTCTTCATTTTTTGTAGGATTTGCCGCGGCGGTCTGCTTGATATCTGGGAGTTTGTGAATGCAAGGGTTCACTCGGCCCAAACGGCAAGGAAGGTCAAGGGAAACCTACCGGTAGCACTGTATCCTTTGTCCACAATTTAAATTAGATAAAAAGAGACAAGTAGACTGGTGAATACAACTGCTGCAAACTGCTAGCCTATTTGAAGTATGGCAGACACAATATGAGGGCGCTGTTTGATTTGTATAAACTGTTTTGTACGTACCAGGACCAAATAGTGCCCTCGTATGGTGTCCACGGTATCTCAAATAGGCTAGTTTGGGCGATTAACAACGCAGTGCACCCCCAACAGTTTGCCGTGGAGAGTCCATTTTCCAACTTTACGGTCGACAAAACACGACCCATTTGAACGGGAATCAGTAGACAACTTGAGTTAATTTGTTATCGATTGGGGCCTAGCGTTCTGCGGCCTTACAAACAACACCATATTGATACAAAGAAAAGAAAAGAGAAAACATGTACTCGAATCATATTCTTACGAAACTACTGGCCGGAAAAAACAACAATTTCACATGTCCCGCGCTGCGAATTTGTCGACCATCTCTTAATGCACTGGGAATAATGAACTCTCCTTGCAAGGGCGGATCCAGAACACAATTTTTTTGGGGGGACCCCAAAAAAAACTTTGGTCCCCTCAAAAAGTGGGTCAAAAAATTAGGGCGTGAGGTTCGGGGCCCGCTGAAGGGCCCCGAAATTTTTTGTGGATTCTAGATGCTCTGTGGTGCAATCTGAGGCAATTTCTGACCACTTTAAACAATGTTTTTTTGAGGAAAAGATGGTGATGTACTCATTGCCTGCCTTTATTGCAATGTCACATAAAAAAAAAAAAATTGGTTTCGTTTTTTTTGGGGGGGGGGGGCATGGCCCCCTTTGGCCCCCCCTGGATCCGCCCTTGTCTCCTTGTGCGTCACACAGAGGACAAAATCACTGTCCAACATCGGACATTAACCCTTACCCTCCAGGGTATTTTGGCTAGAAACCCTGCCAAACGCAGCACCATGCAACACTTGTCTAAGTGACAAGCCTGCCCAGTGTCAAGGCCAAACTGCCTCAGAGTCTGTGGTCACCGAATGCAGCAGGATACAACTGTGGCATTGTTCAATGGGACTAGCTCTCATTGGCTCGGAAGTGGCCGTTTATGCACTGGTGTTGGTAGCTGAATGCATCAAAGTGCACCAGACTTTTTCCACATGATGCACTGTGTTGCATCTGGCAGGGTTAGGGTTAATCAACTGACTGTTAATGTGTATACCTTATTGGTCTTGACCAACTTTGTTCTGAAACTTGTGCATTTTAAAGGGAAAATACAACATTTGCAAACATCAAAAAATAAAGTTACTAAATTATTTTGAAATACCTTGCTAAACTGTTAGTGAATGACAGTCTAAATCATCCTGTAAAATCATGGCACCTGGTATACTGTCATTTTCAAGAAAAGTGGTATTTTCGTATCAATTTCCAACGCTGCTCGGCCGACCAGTGTTGGAAAAAACTGGCTTTTTTGTAATACTGGCCCCAATTGACCATATTTAGTTATATATATAACTATATTTAGTTTTGTTTGCAATCGATTACACACCTATGAACGGGTACAAGCAAGCTAGACTGGTTCCCTGACCTTACAATTCCCCAACGTCTATAAATTGCTCCGTTTCATTTTAAATGGAGTCAGGGAACCAGACAACAGGAAAATGACTGTTTTTCTTCGTTTTTATAGCATCTACGAACCCAAAACGTCAAAAAAGTCGGTGTAACAATATTTACTATATACAAGCAACCCCCCAAACCCATCCATTTCTGAAAATTACAGCAAAATCAAATGATGTATATTCCCTTTAATCGCATATGATAACTCAAAATTGCAGCATCATTATTTGACTGCTGGATCATTATTGTGCTTGATAATTATTGTTCAAGCAGTGTTTGTCTAATTCCACTGTTGGGTCATGACCTGTCACCAGCTCTAGGCTCATTTTGCGATGATGGGTTAGGTACTTTTTTCCTTAACAAATGGAAACCTTTCTCAGCCTAGCCCGGCACAGATCAGGGAGTGGGTATAAAGTGAAGTATGGGGGAGACACCAAGTACTCCCAGGAGAGGGCGGAGTTATTGGAGAGACAGAGGGGGTTGAGGTCCCAGCTGGAGGGAACCAAGGCGGACGTCAAGCGCCTGGGCAAAGATCTGGGGATATCGAGACTCGAGTCTGAAATCTTATCTGCAGGTACGTGACACATGTTTCACACTGGCATTCCATAGAATTTTTACTGGTTCATTTTTATTTCTGTGAAGCACCTTGAGCGTCAATTTTGACGGATTTGGCGATATACAAGAATTAGATATTATTATTATTAAATAAATCACAAGTCCAGTCACAAGTCACAGTGGACAAACAACAACAAAGGAATGCATTTGTCAAAGCTTACTTAAATAGTTTGTGAGTTGACTTGGGACTGGAGGCCTTGTGATGGACTTTGTAAGGACTTGAGATGGACTCGACTACATCCCTGATTCCAGAGTTATGTCAAACAAAATTGTTCTGACGGTTGGAATTCAATTTGACGTTTGAAACAAGAAACAACCCCGTGGAATAGATTGACTGTTACAGTCATTCAAAGCGGCCTCGGAGTTTAGTCAATTGAAAAATAGTACATTAGACCTAACCTCCTGGGTCCTCTGGCTAGGATGCAACCTCAATCCTGCAAAATCCTCCAATTGCCACCTAGAAAAAATTTGATTCAGCCTCAATCCTCCAAAATCATCCGTTATTTTCTTGAAGTAAGTCTGTGGAGGGTGACCACTGCCTCAATCCTCCAAAATCGTCTGCCAATTACTGCTATGGTTTGAGGAAGTGCGAATGGCATTTAGAAGCAGCGCGGATGAAATACGAGAAAAACACAGGGCTGATTTATGCATGGCTCATTGGCGGATCCAGCGGGGGGCGCAGGGGCGCACGCCCCCCCCGCCCTGGCAAATATTTTGAAATGTATACTATCAGTGAAAAACGGATGGTGATCCGACGGGCCACGCGTTTTGAGTTTGAGGAAGAACAGTCGTTCAAAAGGCGTGGCAGTTTGCACGCAACTAGCGCGGGTTATAATGGCCGCACAATACGCGGATAAAACCAAGGTAAAGCAAACTGTAGTTGAGTCTCATTTCGCGTATTTTTTTTAGCGCGTCATACGTCCGTGAGACTGCATGCGGACAACTGCTGCGTACAATGCGTATGAAGTCAAACCGTTTTCACGCTCTGGGCTTGGTGACTAAATGAAATCAAACAACGGCCACATCAGATTCTATTAAAATATTTTTCTGATACGTTTCAAGCCAGTTTGTCACACTCCCCAGATATGCATCCGCTGTAATGAAATATTCAAATTCATGTCAGTTATGTGACCTAGCACGGAACAATTACAAATTATGTGCATGTTCTCAACTTTAGGCTTTGAATACAGAAGAAACTTCATTAGAGCAAGAGTATATAGGCCTATATGTATTTGAAACAAATGAAACAAAATTTTAAAAACTTCTGCTATAAAAAATCAGGGGAAAGTGGCGAGGAAACGCCTCAGATTGCACCACAGAGCATCAACGATCCAAAATTTCCCGGGGCCCTTAAGCGGCCCCCGGACCCCACGCCGTAAAGGGTTTCGCGCTCCGCGCTTGCATTAGTCCTCCGGCCAAATTCCATCTATGCTATAATTTCACCCTAGCAGTGCCCCCACCTTTTTGTACCTTCAGCAGCGAATGGCTGAGACTCGGACTACAAGTGGCCTAAATCCCTTTCCAAAATAAAAGTTGTGAAAAATACGAAGATGGAACATGGTTCTCAACTTTGAGTACATAACAAAGTTTATAAAGATAAAAAAAATAACAAATTTAAATGGAATTTTCGATGTTTAAAATGTTTTCTAAACGGTGGAAAGTGGCCAGGAATCGTCTCAGATTGCACCACAGAACATCTAAAATCCAAATTTTTCCGGGGCCCTTAAGCGGACCCCAGACCCCACGCCTGGACCCTTCATTACAATTCTAGCCCCCCCCCCGGCAAATGGCAGTCTGGATCCGCCCCTGTGGCTGAATATAACCAATGCAGGATATGGCCTACTGGCTTGACATAATGCATCCTCCACAAAAAAGCGATACATCTTTGCCATTCATCCTCAATCCTCTAAAATCATCCGAAACCTGCAGGAGGATTTTGGAGGATTGGGGAGGGTTAGGGTTAATTAAAGTTCCCCTGTCCGAAACCAGTCCTATTTTGGGTCGACTTGAGTCGCTCTAAAAACAATTTGGTTCGACGCAACTCAATGTTGGTCTGAAACGAGAGTCACAGGGGTGTGAAATCTCAGCTTTAAAGCTGATTTCAGCTTTTTTTATTTTGGACTTCAGCTGTTTTCCCTCACTTGCTTTGTACAAAAGTATAGGAGATTTCCAAAGTTCAGCTTTTTTACACCCTTTTCAGCCGTTTCCAGCTATTTTTATCAATGGTCACTCACACCCCTGAGTCAGCAAATCAATATATTTATTACTTGCAAATGAAGTAACCTTAATAAGAACAGTACTTGATTTGGTGGTGTACTGACAGTTTTACTTGCCAGTTTCGTATGTTGGTAAGTTTTTTAATGTTTCCTTTTTCCCCCAGAACAAGAGTACCAGACGTCCTGTTCTGAGATATCATACCTTCAGCACAAGCAGACGTTGCTGGGGGCGCATTCTGCTGAGTGCAAGGCTAACACGGCCAGATACGAGGAGTACACAAAACGCATAGCGGGAAAGCTGAACCGCTACAAAGAATTGAAAAGGTAACCAAAAAAATTCAAGTATTTGTAATATTTATGTCTCTTAGTTACTGTTGAAGGGGCACTACTGAACTTGTTTTGTTTTGTGTTATCAGATAGAGCCTAAATCGGAAAAGTTTGCCTTTTCTAGCAAATGGTGCCTTTTCAAGCCCTTTCAAACAAATGTTATCATGTTATTGGACAGTGTTTCACAAGCTGCGTTGATGCGATTCTACCGTGATAGGTGAATTGTTTTAAGAAATTGTTGCTTTGTTTAAATGAGAATACAAAGTTTGTTGGTCTGTTACTTCTGTAAATTCACGCTAAGAGTTTTTCTGAAAGTTCATAAAGTCTGTTTTCACCTCTGGTTGTTTTGCTGATGATTTACTTTCCTACAATGGGCACGGCCAGTCATTGTTGTTCAGCAAGCAAGGATCATCACAAACCAACGGCACATCCTCACCAGGGCTGGAGTCTGCATGCACGGTCAGTTTGTGGCAAATGTCACAACCTTTCAAACCCTCCACTGCTAGAGACAAACATTTCTTATTGAGAAGTTTTTCAGTAAAGTATTTCACTTTTAGATCCACAGTTGCGACATTCAAGCCTTCATTCTTGTGGGCATATGTATGGTCTAGCGGTAGGGCACAGGATTCATAATCGTGAGGTTGTGGGTTCAAGCCCCGCCATGGTCATGTGAGTTGTGCCCTTGAGTAAGGCGCTTTACCTCAATTACTCCTCTCAACCCAGGTGTTAAATGGGTACCGGCATTGTTCAATGCTGGGAAGGTAACAGACTCGCTGTGGAGGAGGTGTGGTGATCCCCCCACAACAGCATACGAGTCTGGCCCAATCGCTAAAGAAAGAGAGATGGGCACTCCGTTCCTATGAACACAGGTTTGTCCCCCTTTTTTTTTCTTGAGGAGATGCCCGCGCAGGTTCTCCATTTGTGCTCCTTATATTTTTTTCTAAGGACCATATGAAATAGCACTCCTAAATAATCCAAGATATTTGTTTTCAAAATTGAACAATGCCATGGCACCACAATTGTGTAAATATTTTTTTTTATGTTTTCCTTCGTTCCTTAGAAAATTGTCCATGAGTCGAGCTCAGAGGTTGCATCGTTCCTCAATCAACTGCTGAAGGGGGACTTTGGGTCTGACTCCAAAGCTTTGTGAGTGGTTGGTCTATTGACGAAACTGTTGCGATTTCTCAATATCTGAGGGTCGTTGACTATACAGGTACACAGACCTCATGAACCTAAAAAGCCTATATTTTAAACTATGGGCCCTATTTTATATATAAAGTAACCTATATGACCAGTAAAAACCTATATTTTTATTCTGCCATACATTTTCGGAATTGTTTTGTAAAGAATAGTTTTAGAATCAATTTGACCCACTTGGCAAAGTAACCATGTTGATTATGGGCTCTGCGCCAACAAAAGAGGGTGCGTTTTTACCTCTTTTGAGAGCTCTGTGGACGGGACACACAGTGTGCGCGTACTGTACTGGTTCGCGCGCGAAGTACGCACCACTTCCTGAATGTGCAAAAGCTATAGCCATCCCATCTTTGCGTGAGCGTCAGGTATCATCGGTGCGTGAATACGTTCAAATTAAACTTGCGATGGTCTCCGAGACTAATCCCCGCCCCCAATAACTTTGGAAAAATTCAAAATACGCAGTGGATGGACCGGGAACAAGTCTAGGTCACCCCCAACTCTCCTTTTCTGGCCGTCGATGGGGTACTTGTGCACGGAGACCATAGGCACTACTCTAAGTGTTTCAGAATTTGGCAGTTTGCATGAACTTGGTTTTAGGTAACTTTATCTAATATTGAGAACTTGATGTGAGCAGTTTGCTGTACAGATTTGCTATGTAGAAGATGAGCAAATCCATGGGCTCAAAATGGCACCAACTAGTAAAGATAGCCAAGATATCGGCTCATCATTAATCACTAAAGCCCAAGCCACACATTCATGGATTGGAGCTATGGATCTCCACGGTTTGAAATTCATGATAAACCACGGGAGTACCGTATTCATCCTTAATGCCTCTGTGGTTATCCATCATCTTCCTTGGGTATTCCTGGAGGGCCTGTGGAAGTTTTAAACTGTTTATAACTTCCGTGTTGAACTGTCATGACATCTTCAGCATACGTCCAGGCCCCAAGATGAATATCTGACTAAATACATAAAACAGTCACCGAGTTGTGCTGTAAATACACATACGACACGTCGCACGCACGACGTGTTTTGTGAAATGGATCGCAGGACGTGTCACAGTGCTGCGATGCACCGTAAGTTACGATGAGTTTCATGAAATTGGGTGCTGATCCCGCAAATACACACTCCAAACAACCATCCTGTAGTGGTCGAGCAGTTGCAATTGTTGCTGGTGTTTGATCGTGTTGCATAAATTTCAAATTAGGTTTTGGCCTTCACTGATGTATAAACACTGTATACTCAGTGTATACCATAAATTTCAAATTAGGTTTTGGCCTTCACTGATGTTTAAACACTGTATACTCAGTGTGTTACCTCCCGAGTAGAATTTGGGAAAAAATCACTCGGGTGGGACTCAAACCCACAACCTCCTGCTATCTAGTCTTACCACCCTACCACAGAGCTAACGGGATCGGTTGGCTGGTTCGAATCCTGTGTACATAACATCGGGTACCCGCATTAACTATTCATAAGATGGAATTATTTGCGTCATGGTGATGTGAATCAAATTAGGTTTTGCCCTTCACCGACGTGTAAACACTGTTTACTCAGGTAACCCACTATACACTAACACAGCATACAGTGTTTACACATCGGTAATGGGCAAAATTAATTAAAGTAATCAAAAGTAATTTGATTTTCATCACCCCGACGCCAAACTCCATCTTATGAATTGCATAAATTTCATGCATTCCTAAAATATGTAGTGACTTCAATCGGGATTTGAAGGGAAAAAATTAACTTTACCCAATATTTACCTCTTAGGAGAAGCAGTTGGCTCACATGCGCACATTCATGGTCACAGAGCAGAGTCGGAACAGTGCCTGGCGGCTGGACAAGAGACTAGCTCAGTTAGTCTCCCAGGTCCACAGACGATTAGCAGCATTGCTGGCTGATAACCCAGGCGCCTCAGAAATGGCAAGCTAATAAGGTCTGCACAAACCGCTTACTGGAAAACAAAAATCTGTCTATTACATGGCGTTGATTCCTTTCTAGAACATTTTCTCAGATTTGTGAGGCATTCTGGCGAAATGAGAGAGAACTGGGCAGAGGTCGAAATGAGGGTTTGTGGGTATTAGGCCAAAAAAAGAACAGTCTCTGGTATGTGCGTGCGTCGCCGTAGCCATGCGCGACGGCAAAATGAAACAGTTTTTTTTTCAATAAAAGATGATGTCTCAAAACCGCCAAACTCACTGGTTTGACTGGAATCCTGCTGCTGCACAATTTTATCATGTTTTGAAATTGGGTTATAATCGAGAATAAGCTTTTAGTGGCCTCTCTGGACTCCCATGTATATTTGCACTAAGTTTAGTCAGGTACCATTTGCAGTCATCAGGCGACAATTGAAGCAAAAAAAACGGCTAAAAAGAAAAAGCCGCGTCGCCGCACCACTTTTTGGGCAAGCTCCATACCAGAAACCGGAGACTTTATTTTTGGCCTTAGGAAAGAGGATAAAATTCTCCTTACAATAATGTTTGTTGCACTTCAATGGGACACTCCGTTGACAAGTTATGGCTGTTTAAAGCTTGCATTTATGGACATGTCAAACAAGTAAAATACAGAGGAGATGCCAATTGTTTTTTCCTTAACCAGTTCCCGTTGGAGGACGAGATAACACACATTGGCTGTTTTTATACACTGGTACGGCTGACGGGTTAAGACGTCAAGATTGCCTCGACTCGCCTAAAACATGCTCAACACGCAAATCCCTAAATCAGTATTTGTGGCGTTTGGCTGTATATCAGAAGTTGGCTTGAAAATTTTGCATTTTGCAAAAATCTGCTTTTTCTTTAAACTATGTGTAGTAGACATTTCAGAGATAATACATTTTGTAATTATCAATAAATCTGAAAATCTAAAAAAAAAAATTACCCCATTTGGTTTTGTGCATTTTTCTCCCCTACGGCCTATGCCCAGTTCCATCTTGCTACAATGCCTCACAATTTTGTTAGAACACCTTGCATTTAATTAACTAGATAGAAATCCTGCTATGTCAATTATGTATGTCAACCTTCTTTGAACTGCATACCATGTCTGCCTTTAAGGTTAATGTTGTCTTGTTTGAAAAAATATATAAATTATTCAGGACCTTGTTTACTACCGAGTTGGAGTTGGTCTCTGCCACAGCCGCTCTTGAGCAGCTCCGGGATTCCTGCAGGGAGCTCCAGGAGTCTGCCTCCAAGGCGTCCAAGGAGAAGGACTGTCTGTACAGCAAGTACCAGAAGATACAAGACTTCAAGAAGTTAACTGTGAGTATTTTTACTCCTATGAAATCCGATGCCAGCACCGTTTTCAACGTTCACTTTCCTCACGTAGGCAATAGGCATGCGCAATACTACCAGTGAGTTAGTATTTCATAGTCCTATATTCACACTACACCAGAACATCTGAGTTGTGCATCACATAATGCAGTACGCGTGACGTGCGCGTCAAATTAGATGTGGACGCGATTAGCAAATTCTGTCGCCCTATTAGAGCATTCAGTAGAATAATGAAACTTCTTAACTGAATGTGTTTTCTATTATGTAATACCTCACCACTTGTTATTCCCATTTTCCCTGAAGTTGAAAGATTTGGTGCTATTTGTTTTCACATTTAAAGGAAAAGAAGCAGGACCTGATCCGAGTGCTGGTGCGGCAGAACTCCGAGGCCAAGAAAAAACTGGAGGTTCTTCAGAGAGAGGTGGGAAGAAAATATGGCAATCTTTACAACATCTCTAATCTCTTGATAGCTTTAAAATTGTCTAAATACACAGTATAAATTGTCATTTACAGCATCAACAGAATTTGCAGACTTTTTTTTAAGATGAGACGAAACTGGGCACAGGTTGTAGCGGGGAAAAATGCAAACCAAAAAACCCGAATGGGGGTGATTTTGTTTGTTTGTTGATTTTCAGATTTATTGATATTTGTAATCTTTGATGTGTCCTCTACACACGTTTTGAAGAAAAAGTATGAAAAGCGTGGTAAAAAAAATTTGGTTTTTAAGGAAAAAGAATTAGCATCTTTCTTTTTCACGGATACAAAACTCCTAACTTGAAAGGCCTTTTCCTCAGTATTTTACTTTTTGGACATGTCGATAAAATGCGAACTTTAAACAGCCATAATTTGTGAACAGAATGTCTGATTGAAGGTCAAAAACCAGTATTGTGAGGAGAATTTTATTCTCTTTCCTAGAACCCACAAACCCTTCTTCCAACGTCTGCCCACTATAGAAAACCCTGTAAGCTCAGAATCCTTAGTTACGGGATGTACACTAGCGCATAAGCCAACATTCCTTGCTATAACCTGTGAAATATGCTTAAAAAAGTAAGCATATAATTGTCTGCTACAGTAAGCAGGGATTTTTCGCTAACGGTAAGCAGAGCCATGAAATTGGGCCCCGATCTCAATTGGGATTGAGAGAAGGGTGGTCCGTTCAATTCAGCTACAGGTTTGCTTTTCCGCAATGTCAGTTCTCTTTGCCAATTTCTTGTTGTCATTCTCCGACAGAATCTGAACTACATGCAGTCCACCCTGTGCAGTCATGAGGCGGGCACAGTCGCCATGGCAACCCAAATGAGGAACGGGGTATCTGAGGAGGTGGAGCGTTTCGCCCAGCTGCCGCTGCATCTGTTACGCCTCACCTCATTGGACAGGCAAGTTGCTGGTGTTGGGTTCAAATTCAGAGTCCAAGTCTCTGGCAACAACAGCAAAAAAAAAAGAAAAATTAGGTCAATGTCAATTCGGAATGAGAAAAACTGTTTTGTACTTGACTTGGCATGGACTGCTGTGGTCCAATGGTTACGGTGTTCAACTCATGTGCTGTGGTACATGGGTTCAAATCCCGTCGGGGAACATGGTGCTGGTGTTCTTGGGCAAGACACTTTAGTACAATTGCCTCTCTCCACCCAGGAGTATGAATGGGTACCTGTGAGGGTAGAGAGCAGATTGCGCTGATCTCGAGCTGCTGCAAAAACTGGTCTCATGGCCTGATGAACAGGGGTAATAATTGTGAAGCGCTTTGAGACTTTTGGTATAAAGCGCTATATAAGTGCCACGCTATTGACTTGAAACTTGGCTATGGGCTCCGTACGCGAACATAGAGGGCGCTTTTGGCCACTTTTGGCCATTATGCATGCGCGTAACACGCATATTGCACAAAGTACGTACGAAAACCCTTTTAGGGTTTGTCCATTTTCAAAGTAACAATAAGGACGATTAAAAATGATGCATGTACAGGGCACGTATGCAGCTTGGAAAAAAGTGGCCATTTAAAATTGCCATTTTTGTGTGATAATTACAATAGGCCCCAGATGTCTACATCTCACTATTTTGGTGTGAGCTGTACATTGGTGATTATGTACCTGATAAATTAACAACGCAAATTGGTGATTTAATATTTGATTTTTTTCTAAGCTGCATATCATCGCTTTGCTAACAAAGTGACAAAAATCTCTATATCTGGTAAAAGTTCATCCCGAAATAATTGCATTAGAAGATATTCCTTTTATAAAAGGCGTTTCCGACCACTTCGCAATATTAAATAGAATTTGGAAATCATAGTATATCATGGAGTATACAGTGTTTAAAAACGTTGGTGAAGGGCAAAACCTAATTTGATTTATATCACCCCGACGCAAAATTCCATCTTATAATAGAATTTGGAAATGTTTGCATTAATAGTTGCTTGTTAAAAATCTCTGTTGATTAAACAGAAATTCATTAATAAAACCTTTTTGCACTTCGTGAGAACACCCATTTTCTACATTACTTTGTACACAGTTTTGTCACTTCTTGGAACATCAAACCGCGAAGGCTTTTATTATTTTTACGTTTTTGTCAACACATTAAACTTGAACTTGTATGTTTAGCGCGCGCGCATTTGTTCTCTTCCAACATCGTTCGCACGTACGCTCCCGCATGTAGACCAATGCATGATTCCTCACTAGGGCCAAAAAAAAAAAAAGGTTCCGGTTTCTGGTCTGTGCGCGTGTCACCGTAGCCATGCATGTCGGCAAAATTGAAAAGTTTTTTTTTTTCAATGTAAGATGATGTATCAAAACTGCCAAACTCACTGGTTTGACTGGAATCCTGCTGCTGCACAATTTTAACGTGTTATTAGATGGGGTTACGATCGAGTATAAGCTTTATGTGGCCTCTCTGGGCTCCCGTATATTTTGCATCAAATTTATTTGGGCACCATTTGCAATCATCAGGCGATATTTGAAGAAAAAACAAGTAAAAAAAAAGCTGCGTCACCGCACCACTTTTGGGACATGCTCCATACCAGAAACTGAAGACTTTTTTTTGGCCTAACGAGATAACTGTTTGTTCATTGTGAGAACATTTTATGCTTTTCTACACTTCGTAAAATTAAAAAAAAACCCGGATTTCAGGCTTTTTGTCACATGTTTATTTATGATTGAAAAAGTAAACAGTGTTTCCCTTTGAAACTTGGCAAAATTGTTCCTTGAGACAAATTTAATAAACAAAAGGCTAGTAAAACTCAAAATTGAACGATTATTGATTTTGGGGGGGGGGGGGTTTGTCATTTTGTGAGCAAAGTGACGATTGGTTGTTGTACTTTGTGCACTACCCAGGGAACTAAAGGCATGTACACATAACTGGTGACTAGCTACCATACACTGTTTACATAATGGAGTCAATTTCTTTAACGTGAAAGACATTAGAAGAAAAGTGAATTTTGGAGTGGGTCATTAACGATTATAATTTGCATACAAGCACGGTGCGATCGATATTCCTTGCCGTTCGTTTCAGTCAGTGTTACAGTGTCACGAAGCAATTTCCACTCGACTCGCGTGCTGTTTACATTTTCAACTTTTCAAACTGTTTTCAAAATGTTTCACAAACCGTTGTCAGTGTTGGATGATTTACAGTCTTTGGTAGCAAATGGGGTATCAAAATGTAGCTAACAACATTCCCCAAAGGTCTATATAAATGCGTCATCTTAAGACGATCGGTTTTAAAATTGTGACCCCTCCAATGAGTGTGTGTCATGGTAAGACAGAAATTCCCCCCAAAAGGAAAGGGAAACAAAAGTTTTGGCTATGGGTCGCTAGTCCACCCCAGGACAAGACATGATCAACAAAGACAAATCAATTCAAATGTATTATAATAACTATTTAATAACAAAAGAACTAAACAAAAACCAATCAATGAACAAATAAACAATCAACCAAATTAAATGAACGAAGTTGAATTACCAATATAATAAATAACAAAATAAACAAAATATTGAAATAGTAAATTGAGGACATGCACAAATTAATATCTCAAAAGCAAATCTCAACTCAATTACTTCACAGAAGCTCAACTGCAAAATCAGCAAAACATGCAAAAGAAATCTCCAAACCAAGTTACAGCAATGCAGTCATAAAAAGCAAATTATAATTAATCACAATGAACCAGAAAACAGGGAAAAGAAAACCATGCAGGTATAACCAAATATAAACTGAAAACCAGAAATTAACTGTATACATGCACATGCATTTTACGTACCTTCACATGTTGTGATCTGTACTCGTGTGTGATAACAAAAGTGGCAGATAATGTGAAGCTAGCACAGGCTACAAAATGAATACAAAATAGAACATGTAGAAAGGGTTGTTCTACTCCAAAATAATATGTGACAAGCTCACAAAATCATGAACAATACTCAAATCTTGCAACTAGGATAATAATATTCCACAATGGCGATCAATGATCATACTCTGTCTCATAATGATGTAACGACAGTTAGCAATTTGGGTCCATTCATAGCTCCGGCATGTCCGGGTATGTGTCTGTATGAGATGGCCGCCAGGGTCAGGTCAGTCCCGTACGTAGTCAGGTAGGCCTTGTACCGGTACTGTGGACCACTGGCACCTACGTTTCCTTGTTCTAGTGCAGCTCCCGTCCCACCCAGTCGGGATAAACCAGTACAGCTACCCTACCCGAGTTGGACCCAGTCTAGCTTGGAATGACTCGAGCTCACATGTGTCGTGCAAATTATGGTGTCACTCCATGTTCGTTGACACACAGCTACCGGTAGCTAGCTATTTACTGTACTGCATGCACTTCACAAATAGTGCCCTCTCTTGTTTGGGACGTCAAATTTATGCAGGTTTACTGTCCTGCTCCAATTAAAAGCCATCTACAAGAAAATTGAAATATCCCAAATCCTAATAATTATAAAATACTAACCCTGCACCTTTATGAGGTCTAGCTTGTACTTAAAGCCCGTGACAAAATATCTCTCAAGGCTAGTATGGCATACTTTGCACATACTCAAAAGGGGGTTTATATCAAATTATCCCTTATACTCAGGAAATAAAAGACATACATGCACATTTGAAATTGCAAGAGGGAACTTACGGTCAGTACAACAGGCTCTCGCTTAGCAAAGAAAAGCGCAGTCAACACACTGAAGGTGGCACTGTAATAGCTGTGAACTCGGGGCACCCGGCGCTGCTGTTGCTGCTGTCAAGCGGACAAGCTGACCGATAAAAAAAATGGCGTGCATTTCTATCCCCTCACACATATGGACCTGACACAAAACACTCACTCAAGCATAACAATCAAAATACCAACAATTCACTGACCATGGCTATAACTTACCTTAGACTTCTCTGAGTCTGGAGAGGGTTTAATGTCTTGGCTCTGACAATTAACTCCCCAATTAAAAGAAGATGACCTACATCTTCTTTACGACCTGTCAGAGTCACTAAACAAAATTCATTTTTATGAAAAAGGAAATATCAACTTTTCATTATTCCTTTCCTGCAATATAGAAAAAAAATCAACTCATTAATCTCTGCACTGTGATGTTATTTACACATCTGACAACAAGATCTTTAGGGAAAAATATACATGTAAATACTTGCTAATTCAAGTGTTCTCAAAGGAACAACTTCTTATTCAATCCTGCTGAGGAAATCAGCTCCTACATTCATCTTACCTGGTATGGCTTCAATCCGGAAACGATGAGACTGTAAGGAAATTGCCCATCGCATCACTCGGCTGTTAATCATATTGGCACGCTGTAGGTATAGTAGGGGCTGATGATCAGTTTCCAATATGAATTCCTTACCTTCAAGGTAGATCTGAAATTTGTTGATCCCCCATACAATGGCCAGGCATTCTTGCTCAATTACTGAGTACTGTTGCTTGCGGGGAAGGAGTTTCTTACTTGCATAAGCGACTGGTAGTTTGAAGCCATCTTCCTCTTGCAATAGAACTGCTCCAAGTCCAGTGTCTGAGGCATCAGTCCTCAAGATGAAAGCCTGCTGGAAGTTTGGCAGATGGAGAATAGGCTTGCTTGTAAGGGACTCCTTCAGGGTTGTATATGCCTTCTCCTGCCTCTCAGTCCAGACTATCTTGTTAGGTTCTTTGGCTTTGACACAATCACTGAGTGATGCAGTAATATTGGAAAAGCCATCAATGAACTTGCGGTAGTAACCACACAAACCAAGGAAAGATCGCATCTGCCTCTTGGTTTGTGGGCGTGGAGCTGAGCGGATTTTCTCCAGCTTGTTTTGTACTGGCATAAGCTGTCCAGTCCCCACAACATGGCCAAGAAATTCTATCCTAGAGCACCCTATCTTACACTTGCTAGTCTTAGCGGTCAAATTAACTAGACGGAGACGTAGAAAGAGTTGTCAGAATATCCTCAAGTGCTCCTCCCATGTTTCAGAATGGGCCAAAATATCATCGATGTAATTCTGTACTTGGTCAATTTCCTTTAAGACCAATCTCATTGCCCGACTGAAGGTCGCAGGGGCATTTACTAAGCCAAATGACATAACCCTGAATTGGAAAAGACCTTGTGGGGTGAGGAATGCGGTCTTTGGTTTGGCACTTTCTTCAAGGGGAATTTGCCAATACCCATTGCTGAGATCTAGTTTGCTGAAATAGCGGGTAGTAGATAGTGTGGCAAAGATTTCCTCTGGGTTGGGTATTGGCTCTGCATGGAATACAGTAATCCTATTTATCTTTCGAAAATCGATGCAGAACAGGTAGCTTCCATCCTGTTTCTCAACTAGCACAATGGGCGAAGCATATGGCGAGTCAGAAGGTTCTATGACACCCATACTTAACATCTTGCTGCATTCTTCTTCCACTACATGGCGTTTAGCATGAGGCAAAGGATATGGTTTCTGTCGTATTGGTACATCTGTTGTGACTTTCAAGATATGTTCAGTCACATGGGTTCTACCAGGTAAGTCTGTCAACACATCAGTAAAGTTTCTTAGGAGGCGTCTTACCTGTCTAGTCTCTGGAGGTAGTTCAGGATCAACGTAGACATCCTGCACAGATTCAGTTGCCTCTAGCGTTTGAAAGTGCAGCTTTATTACTGGTCTAGATGGTGAAAATTCTTCTCGGTCTATGAAGTCTGTCTCATCTTCGATGGTAGCCACCGAGATCACATCCAGGATACCT